CCCCAACTCTCTCTATCCCCTTCCATCCCTTTCTCTCTCCCTATACTTTATGTATAAAAACCCAGTAAAGATTGATATCTTTATTTCAGAAGAACACATATTGTAGATAAAGAGCGAGGAGGGAGGGGGCGAGAGAGAGAGAGGAGGATGAGGAGGAAGAGGAAAAGGAGGAGGGGTAAAGGAATATAAATATAACCCCTCCGAGTCTTGTGATTACTGCTTGCGCGCAGGCCTACTTCATTTCACTTGGATTATCTAGTGGGTGTATCTTGAGTGCCAGAGATCGATGGATGCACCTCGCTATGGTTATCAGACGGACGGGGTACGGAGCGGTGGGCTGTTCAAAGCGTGCGTGTGTGTGTGTGTGTGTATGTGTGTGTGTGTGTGTGTGTGTGTATGTGTGTGTGTGTGTGTGTGTGTGTGTGTGTGAGAGAGAGAGAGAGAGAGAGAGAGAGAGAGAGAGAGAGAGAGAGAAGAAGGGGGAGGGGCAGAAGAACAAAATGAGCAGGAGCGAATCAATGAAAGTGGGGCAAACAGACCGGAGAGTTATAGTTAGGCTCGAAGAACAAGATGCACGTCAACACTATAACCAAACGAAAAATAACATTTAAAACATCACAAACACCTTGGAGCTCTAACGCATAAATCTAATATATGATGACACCCTTAAAAAAGGTAAAGAGGCGGTGAATTCAAGCTGATATCCGGGGAAGACTGCTACAGGAAGGAAACGACTATGGTCGGGCTACCACACTCGAGCGCTCATGGACGTCTGAAGTAAGTACAGAAATAGGCCTCCGGTTGTAAAAAGACGTAGTATCAGAGCTGGGGGAGCGTCAACTTTAAAAAAACTCGATCTGAGTCAAAGACAGCAACATCTACCCGATAACTGTTAACTTAGTGCGTGGTGGGAAAAAGCAAGATGACTGAGACATGATGTGATGGAGGGTGAGTATGAAGGACTAGGTAAACGGCGTTTCATAGGCAGGGGGGAGGGAGAGAGAGAGAGAG